ACACCAGATCAAAATCTCTCAGCACCTGGATCTGTGCTGTAAGTGGATCTGGGAGTACAATCTTCAGACCCAGGCTCTACTATCTCACTGCCCAGCCCCTTGCCTTGCTAGTTTCCCTCCCTGTCCTTGCACCTGGTCATATGAGCACAGCCACGGGCACCCACCAAAGGACAGGAGTCCCAGGCACAGATTGTTGAGAGAGCAAACAAACCCTGCTATTCTCAGGGAACTCAAGTTCAGGGGCAAGGTGCAGTGTCCTTGGGGAGAGCAGGGGTGTGTGCAGCATGCTGAGGTGAGCTGGTGGCAGGGGTGGGGCCGGGGGTATCAGAGGGAATGAAGTCGTGGCAGGCAAACCCAGGAAGGCAAAAATGCTGACTATGGTACAAATCTAAAAAGCCTTATATACCTTACCTCAGAGTTTGAATTTTATTCTACATATATCATCAAATACACTGAGAGTTTTTAAAAGAGGAAAGCTCCACGTTAGACCCATGACTTGGGGAAAAAAGGTAGAGGCAAGAGTGTTGGGGGAGGAGATGCTGCCGATGGCAGGTTAAAGATGATGAAGGCTGACATGGGGACACGGTTGAGGAGGACAAAGACACTTCATATCAGGACGTCCAGGACTTTCTGACCAAGGTGTAAAACATAGCTAGCAATTTGCATCCATCAGATTGAAAAAAAATTTTAATAGATGGACAACATTTGGTGCTGTCCATCTAGTTACATGCTGAATTATTAATGTTGAGAGGAATGTGCGGAGAAATAGTCTTTATCCTGCTCAAAGAAGTGTGATCCAGGTCCAGCCTTTATGGAGGGTCATTTGAAGTTAGTTGTCTATTAAATTAAAACTGTACATGCTCTGTGAACTGGAAAACCTAATGTTAAGCATCAATCCTAGAGAAACAATCAGGTGAATACACAGAGGCGAAGTGGACAAGCACGGTCGCCTCTGGCGCCCTGACCTCCCTGGCCCCTCTACCAGCCCTTCATCCGCTAACGTGCGCTCTCTGCATTCGGTCCCAGTTCTAAACTGCATCCATGGGAGAGCCGGGGTGGAGTGTGTTTACTCCTCCTCGGGCAGAAGTGCAAGTCCCTTTTTATGTCATTGTTTAAGCAGTAGACTTACAAGGCGATTTTTCCTATAATATTTTGGCCTTTTAGTATGTTCCATATTAAAATATTTTTAATGACTCTGAGGTCTCTGGCTTGTGTACCTGGATAGATGGGGGGGGGGGCTCCGAGAAGGGCAATGGTCTGGGGTGGGCGAGGTGTTGATAAACTGAATTATGAACGTTGAGATGTCAAGTCAGGGTTGTCCACCAAGGGTTAGGGGCTAGCTGCTGTGGCCGCGTGAGTCAATGGGAGAGCGAATGTCAGGAAACAGATGGGAATCCGTGATGTGTCGTGTCCTGTGTGGGAGAGCCAAGGAGACATTCGTGGTTTGAGGAGCACAGGAAAGATGGGGAATGGAGGCCAGAGGGTTGACCACACTCCCTCAGGAAGGAATGCAAAGGGAAGGATAAGACTAAAAAGAAAGGTACGTGTGAACAAGGTCGATCTTCTTTAAGAATTCAAGACATATGAATATATTTTTAGCATGATACCAAAAATATCCATCTCCCTTGTATTCTGCTCAAATGAGCCTGGATACACTGAAATAACTTTCATTAAGTAACAGTCTCTTTGTTCTCATTTCCTCCAGAAAAATACCCCTGCCATCCAAAGACAAGATGGGTATCTAACACTCCCTTGTGACATCCAGCTGCCGCCTGCCTCCCCCTTGAGGGCCAGGTCCTTGCGCTTTCCCTGAATGCCTTCTGGGGACAGCACTGTGCTGTGCATGTGCATGTGGCAGGAGCACATGAAATATCTGTTAAAAAGACAACTGCATGAATGAGTCTGAGAATCTATAAAAAGAGGGTCAGAAACCTGATTGTGCCCCTGCGTCCCCAGTCTACTCTGGATGGGGCGAGCTGGACTGGAGGCTGAGGCTGGTTATCAAATGAGGTCCCAGGCGAGGGTGGCAATTTGTCCCACTACTGTCCAAAGTATCTACCATGTGACCAAAACTATGTAGAATATAAATTATACACATGCACACACACAAAAGAAAGACTAGAAGGAAATCCGACAGGGATAACACCTAGAGAATGGACTCATAAATGATTATTTTTTTCTATATACTTTCTGTATTTTACCATTTTTCTACAAGAGAATCCCTGACTTTTGTGTTCTAATTCTAATCCTGCATGCAGGAAGCTGTAATTTAGACCCTGGGCTGGACCGGCCCAGCAGGAGGACGGGGACGCCCTGCGCACGCGGACAGGTTCGATAGCCCCGGGTCAGGGCATTGACCAGTGTCCTCTGGGGGGTGAACGCAAACATGGCACTTGACTCACAGTCACCACCTCAAGGTGGCCCTGTGAGGCCCAGCCCCCCTCAACAAGCTGGGCTCCTCTGTTTATTGCAACTGCAATCAAATTCTCCCAGCTTCCCTTGCTGAGGAGTTTCTCAGGCCTTCGAAGAAGGAAGACAGAGTGTGCAGGAGAAAAGCAAGAGCAAGCAGGAGTTCTGGGGGCATAAAGCAGCTTAGGTCCCTGAGGCAGAGCTGTGCATCTGCCTGGGACACCTCAACACCTGACTTTATAGTTTGTTCCCGTTGAAAAGGGACCAGGGAGGTGGCAGCCCATTGGGAGCTCTGGGTAAAGTGCCTGCCCCTACGAGATAATAAACAACAATAATTAAGACTTTCTGGAAAACTGAGTAATATCTTTATTAAACTTCTCTGATTTGTATGTTTTCTATAAACTAAACTGCCTTCAGCTGCTATAACTTGGGAGTGATGAGGATGATGGTAGCAGTAATAATGATGAACTAAACCACAAGTGGATCCAATGTCTGGGGACGGCGCTGAGGCCGCTTTACTGACGGGGTCCAGCAGCACAGGCCCTGAGACCCTGCTCTGATCTGCATGTGGCAGCCTTGCACCCCAAGGCCCTGAGGGGGCCAGGCAGCAGCCACAGCCTGTCCTAGCACTTGTCCCTCAAATACCACCCCCTTGGGAGGGTCTGTTCCCAAAAGATTGTAGGTAATTCTTTCCTTCTTCTTTGCATTGAAATGAAAATCACTATCGGTGCCCATAACCTAGATTCTTTCACTCTGGAATTCATCTGAATTGGTTATTTTTGTAGCTCAGAGAATGTTAATACACGTAGATGGACAAGACAATTCTCTTCTCCTATTCAGGCAAGGCCGTTAATAAATAAATACCATATTGTGTTTTATAAAAAACCCAGGGCCTTTAACTACAGACCCATCCAAGCATTTGACAGGGAACAGAGTCGAACTCTCATGGCGCAGGAAGTTATGAATCATTAATGTGCCAAGTACACCCTCGGAAGCTCCTTCCCCAGCTCCTGCCACGAAGGCGAGCACGCCGCTTTTACATTCCATCCGTTCAGCAAGGCTTTGAGGGCCATTCTCAGTTTCAGGTCATGATGGTGGATGGTGCTGATGTCTAGGTTTTATCTGCAGAGAGCAAGCTCCCTCCTCCCCCGCTCCCTGCCCTGTTTCAATCCAGTGCTTTTGAATCACTGCGCAACAGCTTCAATAACCTCGCTGGAAATGGGCAGAGTGAACCCTTGGCTACGGTCTGGATCTCCCCCACACCCCCTACCAATTGTCCTAATGCAGTGGTGGCGGTGGCACCAACAGGTCCTGGTGGAGCCAGGGGGCAGGACGAGGAAGGCCACACACACTCTTTGGGGACCTTTCCGTTTTCCTGGCCCTTCTCCCCGGAACTGCCTGCCGCTTGGGGGTCACCTTAGGGCCTTGAAGCACTTTGCACCCTGTACTTTCACTAACTTCCAAAGAAGAGGGAGACAAAAATGGTTAGAATGTTTTTAAACCTGTCTTCGGGTTGCTTTGTGTGAGCTAGTTTCTTCCTCCTGGGTGTGCTCTCATCTTGTTTTCAGGGCGCGGGGCCCGTAGGGGGACAACTCGGGTCCTACTTTCTTTTGTCCCACAATGCAGCGCTTAAGTGGAGTCCTGGACTTAGAATACCCTGAAAGTTTGTTGTTGCTTTTTTTTTAAATAAAATTTAGCATGACATGTTACCCCCCAACCCCACCCCTGGACCTCATCATACATGCACACGACTGGTTCGTGGAGCTTCATTCTCTGGCAGTTTTCCACTAATGTGAGAAACAACCCACCAAAAACTCTCCAGCTCCACTGGAAATACCCATTTCCAACAGACTGTTAATTCACTTGAAATACTATAAATAAAAAGTGACAAATGTCAAAGATTTAGAAAAGTCATTGATTTTGTCAGGGCTCATTTTAGAAGACAGTTGCTTCAGAAGATTCTTGCATTCGGCCTCAACCCTAACACCATCTCCCTTTTGAAACAGGGAGCTAATGCCCACCCTCCAAGGGGCTCACACTTGAGAAAGGCTGTGACTCCAGTACACAGGGTGCTTCCTGTATGGCACCGGGCCCTGGGAACCTAATTCCTAAACCGGGGAAAGTGCTTCCTTGGGGGCGAAGGTCAGGATACTTAATGATAAAGGAGCCAAATGCTTCCTTTATAACCAAGAAGAATGCAGGCCCTGGCAGAGCTCTGTTTACCTCACTGGGTTCCCAAGGTAAACAGTGGAAGCGACACGTGAGTGCTCTACGGAGGGGCCCGCCTCCTCGTAGGGAATAATGCCCCGCAAAATGATTGTGGACAATTTCTTGACTTCTCTGAACTTACACAGAATCCTGGTATTTGTTTCCCCTTCTCTACTCTCCGTTCCTAAGTCTTAATCAAACATGTGAGTGAGACCATGAGGAATTTTGACTTTTTCTTCCAATTCTCCAGCAACAGGGTTTTTACCCAGGCATTTGCATACTCGATGGATGTCCAGCAAGCTATTCCCACTAATGTGATTTCCCACTGCCCCACCCTTCCCAAACATGTTCAGGCCAGGCAACTCCTGGGTTGGAGCTCTTACCAGTTTCCCGGTGGGGCAACCTTTTCTCCACTGTCCGAGTCTCCTTTCTGGGGCCCGGGGGTGGCGTGACCTTTTCCAGTTCTCCAGGGCTGACATCAGGGGACGCAGGTGGGTAGGGGAGGGTAAGGGTATGCAGAAGCGGCTTCCTGGGCAGGGGTGGCTTAGAGCCCAGCTGCTCTGATGGCCGGGCCTTCCCCTTTCCCTGGTCACTGGGGGACCTGCCCCCCCGAATAGTAGGGGCCATGCCCATGTGACGCTTGTCATCTTTTGAGAGCAGAGTCAGTCTTCCTTTTTCCAGCCTGACCTCAGCACTATACCTCTTGATTCCTTTCACCTCTGGCAGGGACACATCTCTGTGTTTGAAAGAGAGAGATGTGGACCGGAGCTTGACTGGGAAGGGGCTTCTGTCCCCACAAGTGAGCGGCTCCTGGGCAGTGGGGCAGAGGTCTCTTGCGACTGGCGCGGTCACCGCATCCTGCGGGTTCTGCCCTGGCCCATCCTGGCTGGCCACCCTGCTCCCTGAGTCCTGAGAGCCACACTCAACTGATGAAGGTGGCTCCTCAGGGTCCAGTTTTTGGTTCTGGCAGTCCAGAGGCACCCGGAGGTCATCGAGGGCAGCCTCGCTCCTCCAGGCCAGGCTGCTCCTCAGTAGGGGCAGACGGATAGTGGAGGAGACAGCAGTGGGGCCCACAGGGCCAGGGTGCCCCAGCCGTTCCCTGTGGCCTGTGTGTGGCCACCCCCGACCAGAGGACACGGAGAACTTCTTCACGCCCCGTGGCTCATTGCCTCCTTTCCCCATTTTATGCTCTGGTGCCTCCCTTTTGGGCACCCCCTGTGGGGACTCAGCTTGCTCAGCCCTGGGGGGTTCTTGGGGGGTGGCTTCTTTGTCCAGGGCACAGGGGGTGGGTTCCTCTTGAGAGGGCTCCAAGGTGGGTGAGGTGGGGGACACACTGAGGCTCCTGCTTGCCACCGGGGCCTTGTGCTTCAAGCAGCTCTTGGGGGCTGGGGGACTTGGGGCATGGTCCTTAGAACATTCTGTCTCTGGTCCCTCAGGACTGGGCACTGCCAGTGTCAGCTCCGCCTCCTTCTGTACATGGTGGTCTGGCCCATCTGGACCCGAGGGAATCTCCAAGAGGATGGTGGGGCTGGTCCCAGGAGGTATTGTGCCTTCCTCAGGGATGTGGGGCGATAATAAACTCTCAGCATCTCCAGAAGCACAAACCACCTCATCATCTATGTCCTTGGATAGCAGACATGTGCTTTCAAGGGACAGCTCCTCCCTCTGATTTTTGCTGTTGGGATCAGGGTGGGGGGAGCCTTCTGGCAAAAGAGGGAACTCTGAGCAGGGGGCTGGGCCTGACATGGGCTCCGTGACTTCAGGGGTGGCTGGGCGGCTAGAGGCATTGTCCCCAGGGAAGCTCTCCTCCTCAGCACTGGCACTGAGCGCCGGGCAGTGCTGCAGGCGTGCCCGTCTTGCACTGAGTCCCCCAGGTGGCAGTATGGTGGCTGGGACCCTGGGCTCCGGGCCTCTGTCCAGGACCACATCCTGCTGTCCAGCACTGGGCTTCTCCTCTGAGCTGAGCGTGGGTAATGGCTTCTCATCTGATTCCTCTTCCTCGGGGGTGCATGTCAGGTCGCTCAGGGATTCAGACTGTGCCCGCTAGGAGAGGTAAGAGGACAAAGACAGCATCACACACTGAATATTAGGAAGCCTGCGACCTTCCCACTTTATTCAAGGCATCATATGGTTTAAAGGCAGCAGTTGTCTCAGAAGCTGGCACCTGAGTGGACATTCACATCCAGTTGTCTTTTCCTAATCCCCCCCTTACTGGCCTATTTTGGATTTTTGCCTCACAAGCTCAGCTTTCAGCAGGACAGTGGCAGCTATGCCCTCAAAATCAATGTGGCCGAAGGCTCTCGTGGCCAAGCCACAAAACTAGGGGATGGTGCTCTACAGAGCAAAGCAAAGGAAAGGGGACCAAGACCAGGGGAGGTCTGCCGCGTCTTGCGCTCAACACTCATTACTTCATTTACTCCTCAATTCATCCCAGTGAGAAAAGGATTACCACTCCTCCCAGGAGCTCAGACAGGTCCACACCTTGGTCAAGGCTGAGCTGATGGCGCCAGTGGAACACTGGCGCTGGTAACCCTGGGCGTCCTCAGAGGCGGCCTCCACCTCCGTGCTCTCTCCCCAGGTGTGCACCCTCATAGCGAGGGCAGACTGGTGTGCCTAAAACGTGATTCCCATCATGTCACACAGGACCAACAGTAAACCAAAGTTTATAGGATAAAGTCCAAACTTTTTCTTTCAGCTAAATTTAGTCCTATAGTCTCTGCTCTTAACTTGTTTCTCCAGCTCCCTACTCAGGTCCAGCCAAGCTCCCACTGGGGGTCTGGGTGACTCACCCACACCCCCAGGGTACTCTAAACTAGTGGTCTCCAACCTTTTTGACACCAAGGACTGATTTCATGGAAGGCAATTATTCCATGGACCCGGGGCAGGGGGATGGTTTGGGGATCATTCAAGCATCTTACATTCAAGCTCACCTCTTGCTGTGCAGCCCTGTTCCTAACAGGCCACAGAGCAGCACCGGTCTGTGGCCCAGGGGTTGGGGATCCCTGCTCTGCGGGACCCTCAAGACTGTCTCAAATGCCGCTCTGACAGAAAACCTTCCTCGCTTCTTCCCTGAGGCTTATGAATCTCCCTTCTCTCATGAAACCCTAAACTGTCTTGTGGCATTTTCCTTGGACTTAATCAACTTCCTCCTTATCATGCACTAAGTCAGTTCCTGCTCTCTTAGGAAGGAAAGGAGATCAAGACATGAATCATTCAAAATGAATCATGAATCATTCAAAAGCCATACGTGAAAATGACCCAAAGGTAGAGGGTGCTGAGACTGATCTTTGTAAAAAGTCCATGACATTGGGCCTGGAAAGTTACCCAGGCAGTTGCACAAGCACAGCTCTCTCCTCCCCCTTTTAGGAAATACTCCGGGTGTGCTTGCAATAGGGTTTCGTTGTTTGTTGATGTTATTTTTAACATTTTCTAGCCAGCATCTCCTTGCTAGAAGAACACAGGATAACTGGAATGTTTGAAGAATACCTGAGCTACTGTTGCCAAGATGCACAATCCTATTCTTCTGGGTACAAAAAGAGGAAGATGTGTAAGGAAATCTATAGGAGAATTTTCAAAAGCTACAGCTACAAAGGCATTACTGACCTTCTGCTGTTACAGGAAATCATTGATGTTGAAACCCTTTTTAGGATGTGGGTCACATTTTTTAAAATGCTTGGAACCCACTCTAAGTCAGCACAGAGCAGAGGAGCATGCCCCACGTGGGCCCATCCCAACCTGCACCACTGGCAGCTCCGAGGAGGCTCCAGTGGAAGAGCAGGCAGCGTAAAGGCTCGTGTGGAACACGGACTCTAGAGGATGAACTTGGGCGCTGAGCAGAAACTTTGCAGGGAACAAAGAGGCTTTGACTCAGCCTGGGCTCTCTGGCTAGGGACAGCAGCAAGGATGGGTACAGCCACTCCATCTCCACCACATCCCTGTCACCTCCTCCACTGGGCCCTCCCGAGAAAGTGGAAGTGGAGGACCATTGCTCAGCCTGCACAAGGATGGAGGCTATCCTGGCTGCCTACTCTACTCATCAACCTTCTCTCACCAGAAAGAGTCTGGGGGCAGCACTCACATAATCTCCAAGCAGGAGACGCTGCTGACAAGCAGTGCTGGGGTGAAGGGAGGCACCAGTCTCTGTCTGAGACCTGGGACTTCCAGCTGGCAGCTCTGCCAGCCATGCAACCTTGATCTAGTTATCTGATCATGCTGCTCCTGGTAGAATTCATGACAGTCCCTCCTCCTGGCACTGCCTGGGTGGGGATGAGGGCTGACTGGTGTGGCGACATGTTAGTGTAGACACGTATGGGTTTTCCACTTCTGTGCTGGAGCCGCACACACGGCCGGTTCTGTGTAGTGTGGTAAAATGCTGAGATAACAACCTGTGCTTGTCTTTCCTGACCTCTGCTTTGCAGTAGAAGGCAGACAGATTCAGCCAAATGAGCACTTGACTGTGTCTTTAAAACTTGAAATAAATATCACAGTCTTGATAGCCAAGGATTATTTTTTTTAACTGTGCAAGATTGGGCTTTTAAGGTAAGAAAAGCCGTTTTGCTTTCTTCTAGAGCTCCAAAAGAGTCAAAGCCTACATGATGTGGAGGAGAGTTTGCCCCACAGATAACAGAGCTGGAGATGCCTGGCCAGGCATGGACAGCTGTTCTGCCCAAATGGAGGAAGGAACTTGAGCAGGAGGAGGAAGAGAATAAAGCAGAGACTCTGCAGGTGCCTGAGTCTGGGGTAGGGGTGGGCGGGTGATAGAAAAAGAAATCCCAGCTATATGGGGGATCAGAAAAGCAGGGGAAACTTGGACCTCACTGTCTAGTGAAGCCCAAGGTGGCTGTGAACCTCCACAGACATCCCGGGGTCAGGAGGGCAGCAGAAGGTGCAGTGTGGTGGCTCGTCCCTACCCGCAGAGCAGGATGAGAGCATTGGAAAGCACTTTAGTCCCCAAGAGGGGCCAGGTTACCAGGAAGGTCCTTATGATCAAAGAGCAAAGGAGGCTGAGGACACTGAAGAACAGAAGCCTCCACCTGAGGACCAAACAGTGACACTGGTAATCACTGGCCAGATACCTATGCCCAGTCAGAAAAATACAAATGCCTCCAAAAACTTACCAATACCATTGCCTACCAAGGAGGGGAGGGAAAGAGGAGTGGAAGATATGGAAATGATGGTTTAAATGAAGGAAGGACTGTGTGTTACCCAGACTGAGAAAATCGGACTTTTTTTTTATTCTAAAAATGTGTTTCAAGAGCTAAGACAAGTTCAAAAGCGAAGAAAGAGAAGTACAGCTCTTCTTCCCCCAAGGGCAGAAGGAAGGGATGCTGTACTTCCCACTGCATCCTGGCTCAGCTGTGGCTGGTTAACATACCCTGGCAGGTAACAAGCATCCCATGAGAATAAAGCCCACACTTGAGGGCCAGACGGAACTGGCTTTGTCCCTGCCCTGTGACTGCACTCAGCACAAGGACAGGCAGGTCAGAGCTACTGGGCTTTGCCAAGTCCCCACAGCTCAGAGCCTTTAACTGTAAATGTCCTGGATATGTGAGCATTTGTACACATCCCCTGGTCCCCAGCCTGCATGAGGGCACACTGCCCTGGAGATAGCCATAGCTTGCTTCTTTCTCCAGCTTTAGTCCCCTTAAAAGTCAATCTTTTAAAACTCATGCCAAGCCCTCTAGCACAAGTTTCAAAAGCACATTCTGCATGCTCAAAGGAAAACTTGCTCTCTTAGGGAGTCCCTGACATCCTGAGCGACCCCAGGCCACTGTCTCCAGTGAAGCACCTAGCTTGTCCTGCATTTGTTATCAATGCTCCACAGTCCTGTCTCAAGGGATGACGGGAGAGAATGTTGGCCTGTGAGTATCTCTTTCTCAGCACTGTATGCTCTGTGGCCAGGCGGGGCCACACCCTGTTTCTCTGCTCCTCCAGGGGTGAGGCAGTGTAAGCACCACCAGGCAGGGGAAAAGGCACCAACCCTATGTGGACCACTAATTCCCTGGTACCACGAGGCCAAAGTACTCCACAAGTGAGTCTTTGGCTCCCAGAACTGCGAGCTGACAACTGGCCCAGGCAGCATGCCCAAAGAGGGCTCTGTCCTTACAGGGGCACATTCCTCTGCTACTCAGCAGGTGTCCCTTTTAGTGGTTCGGCTTCTTTAGCCATTCACTCACTCATTCATTTATTCATTCAACAAATGTTTACTGGATGTCAGCTCTGTGACTAGCCTTGCTCCAGGGGCTAGAAGTAGAGCTGGGACAAGGTCTCGGAGAAGACTGGCAGTAAACGAGCGAGCACATACATTTCCAAAGGTCACGTCTGTGTGTGGCGAATGCTATGAAGGAAGTGAGCATGGTGGTGGGAAGGTAGGGCTGCTCTCCGCAGGACGGTCAGGTGAGCCTCCGTGGGGAGAGGACTTCTGGCTGAGAACCCAAGGCTGAGAAGGATCCCCCAGGAGAACAGCATCTTGAGCAGAAGATCAGCAGGTGCAATGCCTGAGGTCCCAGACAGCTTAGAGAGCTCAAGAAGCAGGGAGGAGACAGAGTATGTTGAGTGGGAGAGGGTAAGCATCTCAGAGACAGGCAGGGCCCGGGCATGCCAGGCCTAGGCTGTTGACTCCACAATGAATGCACGGGGAAGGCAAAGGACCCACAGCACATAGCAGGTTCTTGATAAGTGTTGCAGAATGAAAGACAGACAGACGGAAGGAATGAAGGAAAGAAGGAAGGAAGGAAGGGTGGGCTTATGCAAGGGGAGAGACATATCTAATTTATGTTGAAAAGACAAGCAACTCGACCTTATCCAGCAGGCCAATGGTACCATGATTGTCACTCAGAGGGGCCACTTGATCCTGAGAGGAGAGAAGGGAGTGGAGGGGGTGGAGAGGAAGCACAATTACCGAAGACAGGCGCCTCATTTTGCTTGACCGCTGGTTGCGGGGCTTAACCAGGAGCTTGTGCTTAGCTGCAGAGTTGTCCAGGCAGGAGGAGAATTCTGGAGGGTGACTGAAATCAGCCACAGGTGCCACACTGCTGTTCAAGGTCCGGGGAAAGACGGGGGTATCACTCGTGTGCCTGGAGGAGGGCTGTTCTGGAGAGGGCGGCCGGGATGAGGAAACAAAAGAGACCTTCTCGAGAGAAGGAGCAAACACCAAGAATTAATTCTTGATATGAATAGGTACAGCAAACAACACTTCAACTCTTTCCTTTTCCTGGGCCCCATCTTCCCATGAAAGGACATGTTTTACATCGGGTCTCAACAGAGTGGGTCCTAGAGTGAAGGGCTGGGAGTTTGAAGTGCTGGGCCACGCAGAGACCCCGTGTACCCAGGCACCCTCACCAGGGTAGCTGCCTTTGCCCGCCCATGGCTGCTGGCACAGGCGCTTCAGACAAGAGCTAGTTTCTTCGATGACGCAGACCAGCTCGATTTCTCCAAGGGCAGAACCAGGCTTGGAACCTGGAAGCTGAAAGCATGCCTCAGCGGTGTGACTTACAGGCCGGGGCACAGGATGCGTCGAGCCCACTACTCGGCAGTCCATCAACAGAGCTGTGGTCTGTTCATTCTAGAAGGTTTCTGTGTCCTTATGCATTCTCTTAGAGAAATTTGACTGTAAGATACCATCTGTTAAGTTACAATATTTCACTAGTTTGTACTACAGAAGAGAGCAATTGACAGCTAAGAACAAAAGTGTTGCCAGGGAGTCTGGCTGTCACATGCAAGAATGATGGTGACACCCTAAGAGCCCTGCCCACTGAACTTGGCAAACTCCTCCACCAAGTGAGGTCTATGTGGGTCGCCTGCAAAGATGTTCAACAGGATAAAGTAACAGAAGGGACACCCACTGAACACCATGACAAATTCAGTCCAGGTGATGAGAGAGGTGCAGAGAGAACCTGGGAGGTGCTGGCCTTAGTTACAACCCTGCCACCCACAACCAAATGTTCTATTCTAGCATGGTGCTCAATATTACTCTCATGTTTACATGGTTTTTCCAATGGTATTTTCCATTTTTTTTACTGTAGTAAAATACAAATAAAATTTAGCATCTTAACTATTTTTTAAAATCCTCACCAAGAATATTTATTTTTATTTGAGAGAGAGAGAGAGAGAGAGAGAGAGAGAGAAATTAATGTAAGAGAGAAACGTCAATAAATTGCCTCCCATATGTGCCCCACTTGGGGATTGAACCGACTACCTAGGCATGTGCCCTGACTAGGGATTGAACCTTTAACCTTTTGGTGTACGGTGGGAGGGGCATGGTGGGGGGAATGCCCCAACCAGCTGAACCATCTGGCCAGGGCTAGCATCTTAACTATTTTTAAGTGTGTAGTACAGCAGTATTAAATACGTTCATATTATTGTGCAAGCAGGACATCATCAATCTCCAGAACTTTTCCTCTTGTAAAACTGAAACTCTGTGCCCAGTAAACAACTCCTCATTTTCCTTATCCCTAGCCCTTTGCACCTACAACTCTACTTTCTGTTTGTATGAATTTGACCTCTCTAAGTAATTCACATAAATGGAATCATACAGTATTTGTCCTTTTGTGAAGGGCTTATTTCACTCAGCATAATGTTCTTGAGGTTCATCCACACTGTGGCATGTGTCAGTTTCCTTCCCTTGTGTGCACAGACCACATTTTGTTTATTCAATCGTCTGTTGATGAACAGTTGTGCTGCTTGCATGTTTTAGCTATTGTGATTAATGCTGCTATGAACATGGGTGTACAAATCTCTTTTCAAGAACTTGCTTTCAGTTCTCTGGGTATTTATCCAGAAGTGGAATTGCTGAATCACAGTGTCTTGAGAAACCTCCATACTGTTTTCCATGGTGGCTGCACTGTTTTACTTTGCCAACACCAGTGCCCTGGGATTCCAATTTCTCCACGTTCTCGCTAAAAGTTTTTTTTTTTAACTGTATTTTAAAATATTTTTTTAAATTTATTTGCTTTTTAAATACATTTGTCTCTGCCTCCCCCGCACCTCTTTCCCTTGCCCCCTCCCACCTTCCCTCCCTCAGCTCTTCCCCTTTGGTTTTGTCCATGAGTCCTTGCTATATGTTCCTTTTTTTTATAGTAGCCATCATAATGGGTGAGCTGGTGTCAAGTTTACTTTTTAACTTAAGCCCATACTTTTATGCATCTCATAATGATTTAGTGAGTCTTGAAGAAAACAGTCTCTCAGGAAGGAGGCAGAGAGCAGCTACCAGGGGTGTGGGTCCATTTTTCTGAGCCCTGCAGCCCCACACAGAGCAGGTGCCCAGCAGCCTCCACTAACCCGGGACTGGGGGGCCAAAGGAAGACGCTGCTGAGAGGCAAGCTCTGATGCAGAGACTGCCTTGCCAGGGCACTGCTCTTTCCCTGTTCATGTAAAGGTCCCTTACATCTTCTAAGGCAAGTATGAAGTTTATTTCTGTCAGTTGAGAGAAGACAATTACTAAAACGGGGGAAAGACCTTATAAGCGGACATAATCGGCCCTCACTGGTGTGGCTCCATTGGTTGGGCATCATCCTGCAAAGAGAAAGGTTGCCCGTTTGATTCCTGGTCAGGACACATGCCTGGGTTGCGGGGTGGGTCCCCAGTCTGGGCACGTGCAAGAAACAACCGACTGAAGTTGCACCCTCACATCGATGTTTCTCTCCCTCTCTTCTTCCCTCCCTTGCCCTCTCTTTAAAAAATAAATAAATAAAATATTTTTTTAAAAAATGGACATAATCAATTTTAGGTCTCTTGTTTAAGCTACTCAGGTTCTTATGGGACTACAGCAAGAAAAAATATTTTTAAAATAAACCACAGGACTCCTGGCCACAACTTCCTTTGTACCTGTGGCTTTAACTGCCCCTGCTGTAGCTGAGGACTAAGGAAGTCGCCTTGGATTGAACTGGTGACAGCTTCCCAGGTTGTCCTTCTTAAGTGTCACAAGCAGAATGAGTCTTTTTCAAAATCACACAGAATCCTTCATTTCCCCATTTGTCTAGGGGAGCAGTATACATAAACACTCGTAAAACTTTGGATTTTTTGTTTTGCTGACTGGAACTCAAGAGAACAGATAAGTTGCTTTGCAAATGCAGAATGATTGCTTTTGTTACAAAGGGCCTCCAGTCACCCCTCTATAAACCTAAAAGACAGGCATTCCCTGCTCCTCTCCCCCAGGGTCCCCTGCATTTGCTCTGCCTGGGCAGATGGTCCTGGTGCAGCCCACGCTGGCCCCTGTGCTGGGAGCCCTTGTCCGGGAGCTTCACTTCCCTGACACTGTGAGCAACGAACGACCTGTGCCCCAGTACACTCCCGGTGCTGGCTCTCACAGTGGGACTTCCTGCTGGGAACTGAACTCTCCCAGTTCAGTGTGAGGCCTTGGGGCCTGGAAAGACCAACCTCTTCAGGACTAAGAGAATCCAAGGCTTCATCTCTTATCACTGAAGTAACTACAGGAGGTGGAATGGGGTCCAAGGGGAGGGGGGCAGGAGAGCTGACCGGAGTTTCTGTGTGTTGGCAGCATCTGAGCATTCACACTGGCGCTGCTTGCTCCCAGTCACCCAATTTTCCCTGAAATCTGCTTCTGGATGATTCTGGAAGTGGATGATTTAAAAGTCTAACTGTGGCTGTGTGTTGGGGGATGCAGCTCACAGGGTCCTGAGGAAATGGGCCTGGGGTTCAGAGGATTTTTCAGGGGTCGCTGTGGGTGGCAGCTGCTTTACGATGTTCATCCTCAAAGAGGGCTCAGCCCTTGACAGGCGGCTGAGGACAGTGTGCTCAGGAGCAGCTGCTGGCTGGAAGCAGGGGTGCTGGGGTTCCCTGTTTCTGGGATGGGAAGCCAGCTGACCTTTGCTTGTGAGGGGAGGGAAAGGACTGACCTGCCTGATCTCTTCTGATTCTCTCCCAAGCCTTCTGAGGACAGGTTCCTAGAGGAGACAGAACCTGCCCAGGGGGCCCTGTCATGGTGGGTGTGCCCCCCTCTTGCCACCGGAGCTGCTCCCCTCTACTAGCCTGCCCTCACCTCCTGGAACAGACTTGCCAGTTTGCTACACTCTATCCCAGATTCTGTACTTAATGGCAGGAAACCTAGAACATGACTAGTTAGATCTAATTTCACTTTAAAAATAACCCAATTTAGTTTCATCAGTTGCCACATCACATGGTGATACAATTTAAAAAGAATAATTCCATGTATTTCCTGAAAAACTCATTCTGCCAAGAAATATCACCTTGGCAGTGACATCAAATACTGCCTTTTTTTTTTCACAATAATCTTCATTAAGTTTCTCTGTCCAGCATGTAAGCCTGTGTCAGGTGTTGTAGCAGGAAAAAAATTAAACAGCCCACAATCCCATCCTTTGGAATGTAAGGAGCCATTATATCAAATACCATGTATTATATACACACACCTTAAAGTGTGTATTGTTTCCCCCCTCAGTCAGCATTCTGTACACTAAAAACTTTCAGGGCATCATTGTATCTTCAAAACCACGATGATAAAGATTATCTTTCCTTTTTTTTAAGTCTTAAGGGCTCAGATTTTGGTTCCCTATGAAGCTAGTGGATTGTTCATATTATCCAATAATTGACAAGATCCCAGAATGTTTTTCTTGTGAAAGAACATAACCACCAAGGGAGGGATGTTGAGAAGGATGAGGTCAGCCCTGTCCAGCACAAGTGATTCCCACTCAGCTAACTGTGGAATTTGCGCATGGTGACCTTTTGTGGGTTTGGAGCTGGGCTCACTCCTTAGTGAATAGAGTTAGAAACAACCTGTTCTCTGTACAGCCTGTCCCCTCTAAAAAGAGAACTTCAATGCTGTGAGCATCAGACAATGCTGTGTAATGGAATGGGCGGGGTCGGGGGTGAGTTGGTCAATAAAGGCTCACAAGAGACATCTCCCCCACCACGTGGCCCTGAAGCACACAAAGTCATGTGTGGTCCTGAGTGTCCACAGCTGAAGCTGCACACTTGAGGATGCGAAGATGTCTCTGTCACATGATCATTACAATGTATGCAGCCACAAGCCTATTAACATCTCCACTATTTTAAAGTGTTAAGGAGTATAGTGTTGATGTGAAGTCTAAGAAATGGGGAAAACCATCCTCCTGTCCTCTCTCCCTTCTCCTCAGGGTGGGAGAGCAGTTGTGGGTAGTGTATTGTCCTCAGACCCTGCTTGTGGAGAAAGCAGGGAGAGGCTTAGCCTCGAGCAGAATTCTCAAGAGAATTCTGGGGCTTGTTTACACTCGGTTACACCACAGCCCTCCCCATGCCTGTCATCAGTGAGCCTCTGGGCACCCACAAGTGCACACAAATGAGCAGATATTCTTTCCTCTGCCTTTGCAGTAGGGCTTCCGGATGTCCAGGTTGAAGTGACTACTGACTGCATTTCAGAGCAGCACAGAATCTGCAAGGCACCGAGTCACAGTGAAACCCCCGATACCTCCCTGTGAATGGCCCTCCACCAGGGCGGGAGTGGCTACTCCAAGGATGCTCTGGGCCAGAGCACGGCTATAAAAAATGGGTGCTGGCCTTCATTTGTTTTCTAAGCATCAGCATAAATGGGTAATTCTAACCCTGTCCAACCCTGAGCAAGCTTGTCTACAAGGGAAAAGTGATCCTTTATGTACAAGTACATGGTATGGGCTTAAAATGGAGGCACTATGGGCTCTGTTGTTCGTACATTAGTAAGAGCTCAGTTTCTCCTCATGGATTCTCATGGGGAAGATGGTGTCTAGGATGAGTTTCCCTGCCCTGTGGAGGCCATAAATACCTCTCCTGCCTTTCGCCCTGTTTACCAGAACCAAGCCTCACATTCCTAGCCCTAACCTAACAAGTTCTCATTGTCCTTCACTCAGGCACAAGAGCCTGTTTTAAGTCACATATGTTTACCACTCCCTTCTCCCTCCGGCCAAGTGTCATGACCACAGAGAACAGGCACAAAGGTGTTTCCTTCTTTGAGACAAGATCCTTGCTGTCTGGTCATCTGCTCAGACAGGAAAAACGAAGTAAGGAGTTGATTGTATCAGACCTCTAACCATCATAAAGAATGTCACCCAAACCCTACCTCCTAACAAGACCTGAATTTCTGCTCAAAGAATGAAAATAAATACTGACTGTGGGCTCCAGTGACCTGGTCTGGAATGCCTCCTGTTGCATCAAGCCCAGCCACCCACCACGGGAATCACCCAAGGGCCACTGGGTACCCAGCTGCCCTCTGTGGTGGGTGAGGATGAACACATGGGGGATGCAGGCTGATCTACCTTTATGGTTGTACCAGGACCGATGTCGTGCAGGAAGGACATCTCTGGGGGGCTCCTGGGCAGCCCGTCATCCTCAGAACTCATGCCAGCATCATCTCCCCGCTTGGCAGGAAGGCTCCCCGGAGGAGGTGGCAGCCCCATTTTCACATTACACTGTATTTTTAACTGGATTGGAATAAAGAACATTTGCTCTTGTTTTCATCAGCAAAGTTTATCAACAAACCCTCCTGCCTCAATTCATTCATTCAGGAGATATTTTCAACACCCGTGCCTGGGTTCAGAGGACTGAACCAAAAGAACATCTGCCGCCAGCTCCCTGGCCGTCATCTTGAAAATCAGTAGTTATAAGTCAGAACGAGCCAAGATCCAGTTGTAACTAACTTGGCGTGTCTTGGGGAAATTGTGATGTGCACAGAGTTATACTTTAAAATATATCAAATAAATCAAGCAGGCATCATTTTAAAACATCTCAATTTATATCTGACATACACACCAAGTGACACTGCCAAGATGACGTTTACCTGCAGAGCCTTAATCCGGTCACAGACGTTTTCTTGGGAGAACACCCTCACAGGCCGTGGAGGGTCCTGTCCCAACTCAGGAATGAAAATACTGTCATGTGAGAGGGCCCGGCTGCCCAGCGTGCCTCTTGACTCCCTAGGAGAAGGAGACACTGTTAAACTCTGCTCACTGCTCCCCTCTCACTGGGGGACCCCAAGATGAACAGTGGGGGCCTGTGGGTCAATGGCCTTGCATACAACCAGCCCATGCTGCGTTTATTTTTGATGTGTGCCCACCTTTGGTTTATCCCCCCGCTGTCAAATACCCCAGTCAACTGTTAGGAGCATTGCAGAGCTAGGAATTTTCCTAATGTACCTGAAGTTTGTGTGAATTCTTTTTATTAATAGAAAAGCCAAGGTCTGCCGAGGTGTGAGGTCCAAAACAGGGGCCTTGGCTGGCTGGCTGGGCTTTTGGGAGGGCGAGGTCATTCCTGTGGGCGCACGCACAGCGCCTCGCTGGGCTGGGGGCCATGTCTGCACAGCAGGTCGAGGGCCTGCCTGACAAAGGCCGCCTCACAGGGTCCAAAACACACATCCACGGCGAGGTGTGAAATGAGACCTGCACATCTGCAAAGCCATGCCCTTTTTTCATTACCGGATATGATCCTTGCAGCCCAACCTGCGTGCCTAGGTCCTGGAGCCCCCTCTGTCATCACCAACCCAGCTCCTTCCCCAGCCTCGTCCCCAGCTCAAGGCTCCAGTTTGGAACTGAACCCACAGGACATTCACAAAATGTTCTAAGAGGATGTGGGAGTTAGCTGTCGGGCTTTCCTAATAGCAGTGGCTGCCTGAACAATAGGTGGAAGGAGGTGATTAAGACCTGATGATGAAAGGAGGAAAGCCTGCCCCCAGAGGCCATCTTGTACACCACGACCCCTGACACCACCCTGCCCTGCACATCCTGTCCTCTGTGAGGTATTAGGGACTCTTAGGTGTGGCCCTGCTCTACTGCAAATCTAATTATATTGGTTAGTGACGCTCTCTGACTACTTTCTAGCCTGCAAGGGTGAATTTGCAAGTGGGGAACCCATGGCTCCTAGAAGAGTATGCCCTTATGTTTCTGGGAGGGAATCAGGCCAGGTGAGAAAGCACCAGGCAGGCCCTCCCACCAATGGAAGCTTTTGTCACAAGGATCACAGGCACACCCGGCTTCCCTCCACAGTGGGCAGCCCCTGTCCACACCCTTTGGAAGCCATGAACACTGACTGCCCAACCACCTCCACTCTGGAAGGAACTGGGTGTTGAGAGAGCATGAAAAGGCCTCTGCAGATACATTGGCAGAAACACGAGACCATTCACTACAGCAACATTTATGGCAGCAAAAGATCGGAAGCAACCCAAACGTCCCTCAGGAGGTGAACATGATATAGTGGGGCCTCTGCAGCTGACCAGTGGGTGAGGAGTATCTCTGTAAACTGTCTATGGGCAGCACCAGACTATATTAAGTTTAAAAAAAAAAAAAAAAGCAGAGTGCAGAGCAACATTTATGGTGTGTTAGCTTGGTGTGGGAAAGGGGATATGAATATATAGAAACATATGCAAACCTATTTGTGTATTTGCTTATATTTCTAAAAATAAAAGGATAAGTAAAAAATTAATAAAAACTATTTCTTTGGGGGGGGCAGACAGAACAAGATGGGAGACAGGGTGCTAAGTTACCCACAGTTACAATTTTGCCTTTGAAACTATGTAAGCATTTTACATAGCTAAAAGACAAAGTCAAACAAAAAGGAAATAAAACAATCTCTAAAACTAGAAAACAACCAGAAACAAGCCAAATTTTACATCAGGTTGTTGGCATAACCATACAGAAAAAAGTGATTTCAAGTGACTTTAACTCCACATCCAAGTGACTTCTGACTGTCTATCTATATATAATAGGGTAAATTCTAAGAACAACAACCACAAATATCAAATTGCACTTGGTAATCAGTAGTAATACTGATTTAAAAAAAACAACAGTGATGAGCAATCTTTATAATATATAACCTCTGTGTGGGAAAGGAGGGCTATAAAATTATTATAAGTATGTTGTACAATGAAGAAAATAATTTTGTTAATATCATTAGGAACCAAGATATCCAGTACAAGAGAAAAATAAATTCAAATAAAGAATCAAAGAAGTAAAAATTTTATCTTACTAAATTTAAAATGGAAATTTTCATGAATTAATGATTTATTTTTCTCTTAAAAAATAAAGCATGTTTCCTAGCTATTTGACCTAGAAAGTTCTAGAAGCAACAACAGCCAACTACCTAGCAATCGTCACCCCGACAGCTAGCCTGTGGTCTTCTAAAACCACTTCACACTAAGATGAAATAGGATCCTGTGACAAAATGGCTGATTACAGGTCTAGGGCAGGAAATGTGCAAAATAAACCTGAGATTTCTCGTTGTGCAAGAAAGCAAAGAAGCTTTCAAAGACAAATGGGGTCATGTTAAAAGAACCCAGGAGCTAATCTGAAGTGTCTCCAATAGCATAACATGGGATAAGGTGAACATAAAAGGTCAATAAAAGTTGTCAGGGGCTAAAGCAAATCAAATATATAAAAATCCATGCCTTAATAATGATATTAAAGAAAAAACAAAATTCACTGGTCAGAATTGGAAGTTGCTAGGGTACCAGATCATCACTATGAAGGTGGATCAACAAAAGGATAATTATTTAAGCATTACCTTGCCCTTCCTGTACAAACTGTATTTGAGAACCACCAAGAAGTTGATGAAGAAAAGGTCTTCTTCATAGAAGAATTCCAGCTAGCACATGCAGAATAAATGATAGAATTAGAAAAAACACCATTTTGTAATGAAATGATGGATGTAGGCAATGACCATCAGTGGGTATCAACCCCACTAGGTGAAGACCGGTGGAGGGATCACACGGAGAATCCCCTGAACCCACTGCTTGGTACTAGAGTCACCAGAAGTGGAATAACCAGAAAGCATGTGCCCTGTGATCTGAAAGCTACCATCCTGAACCTCAATCTAATTTAATACCATCTAATGCTTCACAAGAAATTCAAAGAGTATAGAAACAAATTCAGTTCTGCCAAGAGAAAGCAAAGCCAGGATGTGGGATAATCTTCTGACCCTGCTCTTTCAGAAGATCAATGACATGAAACAAAGGAGTAGGGGTTTGTTACAGATTAAGAGACTTAAGAGGCATAACCACAGGCAATAAATGGGCAACAACTTTTCAAATCCACAGAGTCCCATGGGCTTTGCCAGCATTAATGTGTCTTGGCAGATGGAACCATCCTGGCCAAGGTGATGGATGAGCAGTTGCTGCAGTGTCTACAAGACTCGCAGACTCTTGCATTGGCTGAAGAGTGCATTTAAGATCTTGCCCATCCTCCCTGCAGCTCTCTAAAAATGTTACTTGCATTTCAAAAGACCCACTTTACTCCATCCTCAAGCTTCCTTTCCTAGCATCAATCCAGCAAACTATTTCCAGTAACAGAAGCCCAGGCCCCCTGCTAGGTGCTGCGAATAGAGAGATGAAAAGGACACAGTCCCCACGTTCCCATGGGTTCTGATGATAGAGGAGATGGACAAGTGGACAGGTCATTTGACCCTGCTCACCCCTCCTGCCATACTCCTGTTTCATGGTTGGAGGGACCACTCTCAGGACTGTCTTCCCAACACCAGAACTGTGTGACCTAGTCAAGAGGGGTGGGCGACGTGAGCGTTACAGTTTCCCTCGGGCTGGCCCAGTGAAGACATTTAATAATTAGCAATGTGTCAATATCAAGATACTGTCTTCCCCGCAAGAGTTTGGAGCATGCCGCCTAAAAACCCAGCGTTCAGTCTGTCCACTCTGTGCTTCACGAGGTGTGGTGTGGGAATGACGTTCACCACCACCACTGAAAAAACAAAAAACAGAAAGAAAAAACTCGAATCTTTCCTCATCAGTCATTTGGTGCCACCAAGTGGTCAGTGTAATTTCTTCTCCATTAGAAACAGGCGAAGAGACTGCTGGGAAGGAAGGAGGGGGCAGAACACCACCACCGGGATGCTGAAGCCACTGACGCCATCTCCGCGTGGTCTGTTTCCCAATCCCGAGGGTCATTGTACCTTTGAAGAATTTTATCCTTAAATTAAGGGCCAATGTTGTTTCAGAGAAAACACAAAGTTGTCATGGCAACAAATCTTTTTTCTTTTTACTCACAGATAAAACTGCTGGAAAAACTGAGCATATGTATTGTAACTGTTTTGGGGAAAATACAAGTTATAAAATTAAGAAGACTTCCCAAAATTGTCATAACCTATTTAGTCTGTCCTCTTTAAAAATATTTTTAGATACTTCTTCTAAAATGGAATAGCAAAAAGCCTTCCTCTCCTGTCTGTCTGTCTGTCTCTTTCATAAACCTTTCTTATTAGGTTATTCAAAGTTCAAGCTTAAAGAGATATATTTTCTGTTATAGTATCCAGGTCCTCAAAAGAATTTTAGATCAAATTAAATCAGGGCTCATATCCCAATCCTGCCACTATCAGGTGTAGGATATTTGGCAAGTTCTCCAAAATTTCACTAATGCTTGGTTTGCTCATTTATAAATTGTTATATCCTACCTCCATCCTAGTTATCGTAGAATTTTAATAGATGCAGCACCTGGCACACAGCAGGTGCCTAATAATTTTGCCCCAACTTTCTCCATGTATGAAAAGACAGAAAACACAACTTCTGTGGGAGAATCTGCCATGAAATTACCTAGGAAGGGAGTAGGCTCAGAAATCCAGCAATTTACCATGGCGATTATATGGTCTACAGGCCCTCCCATGCCCCCTCCAGAAGGATGTGAAAAGTAACTTACTCAAGCTCATCTTCTGAATCATAGCCCACTGGCACTGATTCGATGGCAATGACCTCACTCTTCGCCTGACTTTGCTTCCAGGTGCTACTTCCTGTGGAGGAAGGAGATTCCTTTCTTTTCTTCTTCCCAAAGAACTTCTTAAACGTTTTGAATTTGGATTTTTTCTTTCCTGTGCAGAAGGAATGCATGTGAGTGCTTACCAAGCCTGTGCGAGATACGCATGAGAAAGAGAGAACGCAGATTTCTGTCCATGCATCAAATTATTCATTGATGAAGAGTCCTTTTACCACACAGAGGTACGTGACATACACAGCACTCTGTTTTTGCACACCTGGAAACAAATCTTTACTGCTGTTTATTTTGGACATATAATAAAAGAGCCAAGAAAGCTCTGGAGCATGATCACAGAATCAAAGCATAAGCAATTTTCCTCTCACTTGAAATCAAGTTTTAATCTCTGAAATACACAAAGTCAAAAGCAAAAGTCCTGATGAGGTAAAGACCATGCCATAACCCAAATTATTTTTCAAAATAATCTTAATTGCTTCCTTTGGAGTGGACATGAGCATCACGAACAGCCAGGGAAGGGCCGGCTTCATGGGCAAGAGGTGCTTGTGGGAGTCCAAAAGCCATGATGAACTAACAACTTTTGATGAGAAAAATTATCTCTCGATGATGGCAGATGAAAGATGATCTGACTGCCATGCTTCCTGGATTGTTAGAATTCACAGCACTTGTAAACGTGATGCCTCCTGAATTCCCATCCACAAATTCCATCATATCTGGGATCCTGTGATTTCACATTAGCAGCTAAGCAGAGTTCCTTGCTTTCCTTCCGAATCTTTGTGAGAATGAACAATAGAAGGATGCAACATCATGGATAACCAGGAAGCTGTCTAACATATCCTGAAAATCTGCTGAAACAATTTATTAGTTTTATAAGTGAATAATTCTGTAAGCTGAATTTCTTAAAAATTAAACAAAATTGTTAGATTTTGTTTACATTACCATTTCACCCCCCACCCCCCACCCAAGGAAGTGTACATGATTTTGCCCTGATGTGGAGAATTATTTAGGATTACTCTAGTAAGAGTTCCTATAGTATCTTAGGTGGAGCAAATCCTTGCCCAAAGGGAATTTAGTTCTACAGCCAAGTCTTCTTAATGTCTAATGCAAGTGTCCTTACCTTTATAATCAAGAAATTACGTTGTTAATTGGGGTTCTCACAGAGAATCTATTATCAAGAAAGACTCTTAAGAGCTCTTTGCATTTGCCAGGTCATCATCTGGCCTTTGCCTAGTCGACAAATAGGTACACATCCCTGCAGCTCTGAGCAAACATGCAGCCTCACTGTCCTTTACAGTCAAAGAGGCTGCTGCTGGTAAGTGGGTATGGGGGAAAGTGGCCACCCAGGCCCGGAGTCTCACGCTGAACACTTGGTTTGACTTGCAGTGATTGGTCAGTCAACCAGTAGGGGCCTGTTTGTGCTACATTTATTCACCTGCTAGATTTTTTAATTCAATATCTTTAATGGTGACAGGAACTATTCAGGTTTTCTACTTCTTGAATCTATTTAAGTGTTATATTTTTCTGGGCATTTGTCTATTATTTTCAAATTTAGCATTTAGCATTTGGCATATAGTGATTAATATCCTCTTATTGTTTTAGCATCCACACTATCCATAATAAAGTTCTCTTTGACAGTCCTGATATTAACTATTTGTCTCCTCTTTTTCCTTGATCAATTTCATCAAAGGTTTGTTGATTTCATTTGCTTTAAAAAAATGTCTGTCTTTGTTAATTCTCCTTATTGAATGTTTATTTTTTTGTATGTTTCTGTTCCTATCTTTATTCTTTCCTTCCTACTTTTTTCAGGTTTATTTTACTATCTTTTTTTTTTATCCTCACCTAAGGACATGCTTATTGATTTTAGAGAGAGAGGAAGGAAGGGAAAGAGAGAAACACTGATGTGAGAGAGGAATATTGATCAGTTGCCTGCTGTATGCACCCTGAAGGGGAACCAAACCCGCAACTCAGGCATGTGCCCTGACCGAGAATCAAACTCATGACCTTTTGTCGTTTATGGGATGATTCTTCAACCAACTGAACCATCCAGCCAGGGCTACTTTGCTATCTTTTTAAACTTCATAAGATGGATACTTAGCTATTTAATTTTTAGACAGTTTAATTTATTAATTTTAGGTGATTTCTAAGCACTTGGGAATTTTCTTATTACTTTCTGTTACTGATTTCTAGTTTAATTGTATTTTGATTCAGAGAATATATTCTGTATGGCTTAAATCGGCTCAAATTTGTTGAGACTTGCATAAATTTGTAAATGTTCCTAATGTGCTTGAAAAATAATGCATTTTTTCAGTGTTTTACATATGTCAAATAGGACAAAGCCTTTTAATTGTGCTGTCTAAATACTTTATACCTTTAATTTGTTCTAACAATTACTGATACCAGCATACTAAAAATAACCCACTCTGATTATAGATTTTATTTGCCTTATTTCAACTGTCAATTTTTCTGTATAACTTTTGACATTATGTTGGTGCATAGGAAGGTAGAACTGTTATCTTGCTCCAGAACTGAACCTTTTGTGAAATGCCCTCTTTAATTTTAATAATGCCTTTGTCTTAAGTTTTATTTTGAGCGCTGTTAATACAGACATGCCAGCTTCCTTTTGCCCAGTGTTTGCAAGGCACATGATTTTCTATCCTTTTACCTTCAACTTTATGAATCCTTATGTTTAAGAGAATCAGTTTTAGAAATCCAAACTGATGATCTTTAACTTCTAAGTGGAACAATTAATGTAATTAATCTATTTACACTCACTGTAATTACTGATATGTTAATAAAAGCATGTCTAACAGCATGGTGGAGTTCTGTTGAGAGCTCTCTTCTGGGTTGCAGTCTGTCAACTTCTTGCTGTGTCCTCACATGGCAGGAAGAGAGTGAGTAGCTCTCTGGCCTCTCCTTACAAGGACACTAATTCCATTCACAAGGGCTCTGCCCTCAGCACAATGACTTCCCAAAGCCCCCACCTCCAAATATGACCCCACTGGGGGACTGGGATTTTAACCTATGAATTTTGGAGGGGCACAAACATTCAGTCCATAACACATAGTACATCTCTCCATGTGTATATGTTTTGGTTGATTTCTTCAAACAATTTTTTATATTTTTCAGTATGTAAATCCTGCATATACTTTGTTAGATATATACCTAAGTATTCCTTTTATTGGTACTACTGTAAATGGCACTTTATTAACTTTCAATTTTTAATTGTTCATTGCTAACATATAAAAATATAATTGATTTTTAATATTGGCCTTGTATAGTGCAAATTTGCTAAACTTGCTTAAGAGTTCTAAGTACTTTTTTTAAAATCCTCATCTGAAGATATGTTTATTGATTTTATAGAAAGAGGAAAGGAGAGACAAAAGGAGGGAAACATGGATATGGCAGAGAAACATTGATATGGGGGAGGAACATCAACCGGTTGCCTCCTGTACACGCCCTGACTGGGAATCGAATCTGCAACCTAGGCATGTGCCCTGACTGGGGATCGAACCCACAACCTTTTGGTATATGGGACAATGCTCCAACCAACAGAGCCACCTGGGCTAGAGCTCTAGGTACTTTTTTTGATATTTTCTATAATCATGTCATCTGCAGTTAAGAGATAGTTTTATTTCTTCTTTCTATCTAGATCCCTTTTATTTCTTTCTCATGCCTTATAGCACTGGCTGGGTGCTACAACACTCTCTACAGTTCCTTGTTCCTTCCAGACATTTTCAAACTTCTTTGTATTAATAATCTTCAAACATAGCATGTTGTTTTATAGCACATATTTGATCATCCTGATATTCAATGCCTTTGGGTGTCTATTTCTCTTGTTTCTGCTGTGTATTAATTTGCTAGGGTTGCCATTATTACTACTATAAACTGAGTGGCGTAACAACAGAACTGTTATTGTCTCAGTTCTGGAGGCTAGAAGTCTGAAATCAAGGTGGCTTTGGCCTTTTAAAGGGTTGTGATGTAAAAATCTATTCCGTGTTTCTCCTCTAACTTTTGGCGGTTTGCTGGCAATCTTTGGAGTTCTTTGGCTTGTAGATGCCATCAGCCTGATCTCTGACTTCACCTTCACATGGTATTCTCCCTGTGCAGTCTATGTCCAAATCCCCCCTTTTTATAATGACATCAGTTACATTAGCTTAGGGGCCCGGCATATCCCAGTATGACATCATCATTACTAACTACATCTGCAAAGACCCAATTGCAAATAAGGTCACATTCTGAGATACTGGGGGTTAGGACTTCAACACATGCATTTTGAAGGCACACAATTCAACTCATAACATGTTGGTTCTCATTCAGGGTGCCTTGTTGCCTTATATGCCTGGTTATCACTGATTACATGTCTATCAGAGTACTGAAAATATTAGTCTGTAATAATCTGAAGTCTAGATAGAAGGTGCCTTCCTTTAGAGAAGATTGTTTCCTTCTGCAAGGTACCTGGGGTCACATTCAGTCTAGGGGTTTTGTTTCTCCTTTGGTTCTTAGATTATTTTAGGGACGGTCTTCTATTAAAGGGGGCCTACCTGGTACAGGTCTGTACCTTGATATACGACCCTCTCCCTCACCTCCCACTTCATGAAGATGTAAAAATGAAATTTAAAATTTCCAAGATAGGTAAATGATTTGAGGGCAAAAGTGGCTTCTATGTCCACTTACTTCTCTGGCTTGTCCTTTTCCTCTAATTTTGGCCTCATTACTTCTTACTTTTAAAAAGATTTTTAAAAGAATGCTCTTATTTAGAATTTTACATTTTTAATGGGAAGAGGTTGATCTGAATAACTTAGTACACTACTATTTGAAAAGGAACAAGAACAGCTTTTATTTTTTTATTTTTTAAAATTGATTCTTTGTGGTGACCTCTGTAAGGACCACAAGCTAGTAGTTATGGAGGTTGTTCAGGCTGAGGAACTACTTCTTCAAGCAGTATTTTCTTGTTTAAATCAGTAGTAATTTAGTGTCCCATAATGTGAGAAATTTTGCAATGCATTTTTTCTCAGGGTTAATTTAAAAAACCTCACCTTATATATATTTGGGGGAGGGTATCTATTCAATTCCGACAGAGGAAGAATAGTTCTAATATGGAATAATAAGAAACATCTATCTATAATGTGACAAGAAAAAGTAGTTCTAATATAGAATAATAAGAAAAATCTATTGAAATATATGAAATAGTCTTTAATGAAATGAGTTATCTGAAGCTAATGATTAGCAGCTATGATTTAATATTATTGAAGCTACTCCCCCTGAACTATATTTAAAAATGACTACTAGCATTTTGACTTTAAATAGAAAGAGATGGAGACATCTGTTATCAAAATAAGGTGAGTCTAAATGGCTGACCTATGGAAAAGATACATTGTAGGGAGATCAATGCTTTTTAATGTCAATTTTACAACTGTATGAAGACATAAATAGCAATATATGAATAACCAATCACGTAATTGAGTAACTCTTAGGACATGTTATGAGATGATGATTCATGGACCTGGAATTTAGCTCAGTGAAGGATATAATAAGATCTCCTGAAGAAGAATGGCCATGAATGAGGAATTAAAGGCTTCCTTTTGTTAGTATCATTTGTCTGGATGATCTGGTTATCTTATACTTTGTCCAGTCTCCTACTGGCACCTTCAGATGTTCTTGGGTAATAAATGATTCTCTTGCACCTCTCTTCCTTAAACTTTCAAGTCAACCAAACATCAGGACAGGAATGAGGAAAATGACTCTAACCCATCCTCCATGTTTGACAGAGAAGCACAGGGGGACGACCCCTGAGGTGCTCTCCAGTCACAGTATGAGAGACCTGGGGGTGTCTAAGCATGCTGTGAACCGAACCCCCATTGTCCATGTGGAGAAGCCCTAAGGCCTGGTTCCATCAGCCCCTCTCCCTGGCCCACAACGCCATGAGGCACTTCACAGAGCAGGGGGAGCAAGGGCCTTACCTGTGCTGTCCTCCCCAACACCTTCTGCAGCCTCCCGGAGCTTAAAGTCCATCACTCTTGTGGAAATCATGTCCAGCTCACTAAAATCAGATGGAAATTCACATTAAAGGAACATGATTAACAGAAGTTAACAGTGAGTAAAAGTGTGGTGGTGCCTGCTTCTTGTCTCTGACCGTGCCTGCCCACACACCAGCAAAGACATGTTGCACAGCAGAATACAGGACAGTGCAGCCCAAAAACACATACACAGCTCACAATTAGTAACCACAGAGGCACTTATCTAATCAGTGACCAAAGCATTTTAATAGAAAATAGATGACTGGGACAAATGCTTCTGCAAATGAGTTGCAGAACAGCCACAGAGACGTGGATTACAACATGGGGAATGTAGTCAATAATATCGAGAGAGATAGATATGGGACCAGGCGGGTGTTTGGGGCAATGCGGGGGACCACTTTGTAGAATACGTGATTTTTCTGGACACTTTGCAGTACATCTGATGCTAATACAGAATGATGTTAAATGTAATTGAAAAAAGTAAGACAAATACCATATCATCTCACCTATAAGTGGTGACCTAATCAACAAAACAAACAAATGAACAAAGTAGAACCAGAGACTTGGAAATAAACAACAAACTGACAGTGACCAGAGGGGAGGGAGGAGGAAGATAACAAGAGAGAGAAAGGGAAGGGGCCAGCAAAGGGACAGGAATAGAGGACTCACGGGCAGGGGCAATGAGGGGGATTGACGGCGCGGGGGGGGGGGGGGGGAGCAGGGGCGGATGGAGTTGGCGTGAGCAATGGGGAAAAAGGTGGAACAACTGTAAGTGAACAACAAATAAAAAGAAAAAATACTTTTAAAAAATCCTTCACCAATTTACACAATGCAGATCTGGTTTCTTTCTTTAAAAAATGTTTTCAGAAGTTATATTTTTTGCTTACTCACTGTAAAAAGTTTGGAAGATGTGGAGAATGAAAACCATCCATAGTCTTATCAACCAAAACAGATAATGTTTTAATGTATTTCCTTCCCACATTTTTTTCTATGCAAATATTTATGTGTATATGCACACACATACCATACTAGGAAGACTGATTTCTTCCTGATTTTCTAACTAATTCTAAGTGTTATTGTACTGGCTACAGAATATTTTGATATGAAGCCACACCATCAATTTACATTGAGTTTCTTTTTTGAACTTTTCATTATGAAGTTTCAAACAGATACAAAAGTGTAAAGAATATATAATGAGCTTAATATATGTTCACTGTAGTTTCATCTTTACCCCTTCTCCCTCTCCAACTCCTACTAGGTTATTTCAAAGCAAATCATCCCAAATACTATTATCATTTCATCCATATGTACTTCTTCATAAATAAAACATCTCTGACTCTTCATGGAAATCAAATGAATGATTAATGGTCAATATTCCTGCTACAGAATATTGGGCTGTGTTCCTGCCTTTCAGAGCTAACTTTTAAATGGTGCATTCCAGCTCTGGCAAGGTGATTCAGTTGGCTGGAATGTCGCTCTGTAGACCAAGAGGCTGAGGGTTCGATCCTCAGTTGGGGCACATACAGGAAGCAACCAATTGATGCTTCTCTTTCTCTCTCTCCCCCCTTCCCTCCCTCTCCCTCCCTCCAAAATCAATAAACATATCTTCCTGTGGGGATTAAATGTAAAATGATGCACTCTACCCAACGCATACAAACTTACCATTTATTTGAAAAACTATTTCTTATTGACAGTTACTATGAACCCTCACACTTAAGAGGGGCGCTCAAATATTTAATTAACCAATTAACATTTACCACTTGTGCACAGTACTTAATGGGAAATGAAAGGAGAAATACAAAGGAAATATTTAACAGAGGAAAGAAGTCATAGGTCTTCTGTGCCTTCTGGACGGTGCCTCACCCACCAAGCGTGGAGTAAAACCAGAAGCTCACACTTGCTCCTCCTCAGCTGGATGATGTGGTGATAAACGCTCACCAGGCAGAGGGCTGAGGAGTGAGCAGGAGGGTGGGGGGCCCTTGAGGATGGCCCAGTCTCCAGCTTGTTGTAGGCACATCCTGCTGGGGCCCAGATGCAGAGGGTATGGCCAGGTACAGAAGCTGTTAAAGATTCACACATGGAGGCAAAAGTTACTCCCCAGATGAGGATATGACAAACTGACTCACCTCACATGGGAGGTTTTAAAACCTGTCTGTGTTTTATGTTCCAAACATCTTCACACTAGGAAGACCACAACGGGGTGCAGAGAAAAAGGGACCAAGACTTGGAAGTCAGGCGGCCCTGGGGTTGAGTTCTCAACCTATCATTTACCATTGTTGAGCCTCAGTTTCCTCATCTACAAAATAGAGATAATGATCCTTTAACTACCTGGGATGGAAAACACAGCACAGATGAGCACCGGCTGAAAACAGCGGGTGGTTTCCACAGCCACACCTCACCATGTACTCACATATATGCACAGATGCAGATGGGAACACACACCTGGCCACTGGCAGCAGACGAGTGTCCATTTGTCTCATGAAGAAAGTGTCCTTGCAAATGGCTCATGTTAGAGCCACCATGATCTGTTAAAGACCAAGAGCTGGATTCACAGATGAGCCCTGAGCTTGCCCGGGTCCTGCAGTCTGAGGGCCACAAGAGAAACTGTCACCAAGTAACGAATGAAAACATTCCAGGACATGGAGGCAGTCTGTCCTCTGAGACTGTGGACTGTGCAGATGGAGGGCTGCCCCCTTCCCTTGGACACTCTGGGTGGAAAGCCTCCACTGCTGTTACAGTGGGATGTCTTCTCTGTTGGGCCCAATAATCTGCCCTTCTGAATGCATGTTCTCCCCTTCTGAATGAAATTCAAGGAAAAGCCAGAATGAAAACCATAATCAGAAAGGCCATGTGGCAAATGCCCCCTATCTCCCAGCACCCCTTTGCTTCTCAGTGGAACTCAGGATTCAATGAAGTCAGGCCGCTCACAACCCCCTTCACCAGCTCTGCCCCCACACTGCCATCCCTGTTCTGAAAGCTCAAGTCCAAGTATAGAAAAACTTAGTTTTTAAATCTGGACCTGAGGGTGCCTCTTCAGGGCTTCCAATAAACTCAAAAGGGGTGCTGAACCTCCAGTGCCCTCTGCAGTTCTCAGCACTAATCAGTGTGTACCTGCGTGCCTGCAGAGTCCAGGAAAGTCTTTCCTCCAAAGAAGGCTCCCCGTGAGGGCTGTCCCACTCCCTCTCCCTGAACCCTAACTGTAACCACAGGCTTCTTGCAAGTTGAGGGCAGAATGCCATCATTAGTTGCAGCTCGTATTGAAAAATTCTACAGAAGTTTATTTATGTGAGGATCGAGAACAGATTTTAATATGGTATTTTAAAGGTTTTGGTCTATTATGTTTATCTACACAATGCACACACAAAAATCCATAACCTGATTACAAGCCTCTGAGCATGTAATTATGTATGAAAGCCTTCGTGTTCTCCCTGTGGACCAGCTAATTCCACACCACCCTCCAGGCCATGGTCACAACCCTGCAGTGTTCTTTCTCAGCCCCTGTACCTCTCTTCGCAATGTTCACCAAGGCTGCCAACAAGGACTTGTTTGTAAAATGTCTGCCTAACATGCCCTATCCTTCTAAGACTGTGTGCTTGGTGGGGCAAGTTATGTGCCTGTCACATCTGCCACTCACTTAGCACCGAGGACAGTGCCTGGGGCACTGTACTGAGCTCAACACTTAAACATGACAGGTGACAACACTTGAGGGGCTTCTGGACATGATCAACTAGAAAAAAACCAGCAATAAAGTCATCAATTGGATTCTATCAATAGACCTAGTTTTACATCTAATTTCAGACTGAGGAAGTCCTCCAGGATATTAGTGATACCTGACTTGTAAAAAGTAAATAATCCCTGTCATGACCCTTTCAGTCTATGGGGGAAATGAAAGAAACTTTATTTTCTTTACAAGAGCAGCACAACTTTAAAAAGATGAAACTAGAGGTAAATTTGCACAGAAGTGACTGCATTTCAGGGAGGCCAACCTGTGAGTGCTTCTCTTATGCTTCTTCCTGTGCCTATGGCTGCAAGACATGGAGTCACCACATCCTAAAGAAAGTTGATTGCACCTTTGTCTATGTGGCCGTACCTGAGATTCTGAAGGTGAGTGATGAAAATTAAAATTAGGTAACTTTAAGATATTTAAAAGCAAATGATCACAGATCCATAAATGCAGAGGTTTTTTTTTGTTTGTTTGTTTGTTTTGGTATTTTTTTTTTGTCTAAAAGCAAATCATAACAAATCTAAATACCAGTGTTTGTGCGCCAAATCAGCTGAAGTTCCTAGTGCCAATTCCAAACAGCTATCTTGAAACTATCAATCACTGGATTGAACTTTTTAATGTTTCTAAAAATGAGGAACATTGAGAGAGTCCTCAGTCTTAGGACTATCTCTTTTTCCTAGAGGGAGCACTTTGGGGGCAAGAGCTCTACCTTGTCCATCTGTGTATGGGGCTCTGTGTCTGGCCACAAAAGTTACCTAAAACACATTTGCAGAATGAATGAACAAACAGGTATGCCACATAACACACTTGTCCTTGAACTTCAAAAGTGTTCATGAGCCTAATGACCGCTCTTTGAATATTAATACATATACACGTAACGACAGAGCCTACTTTCACAACCATTCAAACCCCATCTAATGCAGCATGTGTTTGAGTATGCATGGTGGTGTGTGTATTTGGGTGGGTTGTGGGTGAGAAAGCCAGATGCCACCATCCTGACAATGGAACAATAACTAAACTCACATCCTTTAGGACTGAAGACCATTCCTGGCATCATACATTGGCAACTGCTCTTTCATTCTCTTTAAATGCCCTGAAGACATAATCTGCCTATAACCAGCTTTTCATTTACTATTCACACAAACAGTTCCAGCTCCAGGAATGTATGGTATTTATGAGGGCCTTCAGAGCGTCCAGACTCCAATCAGTCCCATCTTGTCAGCTGATCAATTTCTGGGTCTCCCACCTATGCCCTTGAAGACTACCAGAATATTAACATCCAGCCCAGTAGTCTATCTT